TTTTTTGGAATAGTCTGTGGAGAATAGGGGTTAGCTCTTCCTTAAATGCATTGTAGAATTCTCCTGTGAAATCATCTGGTCCAGGGCTTTTGTGTGATGGGAGTTTTTTGACTATTGCTTCAATTTTTTTTGCTGTTATTGGTGTGTTTAGATTTTCTACTTCTTTTTTATTGAGTGTTGGAAGATTGTATTTTTGTAGAAATGTGTCCATTTCCCCTAGGTTTTCTAATTTCTTGGCATACAGTTCTTCATAGTAATTTCTTACAATCTCTTCTATTTCTGTGGTATCAGTTGTAATCTCTCCTTTTTCATTTCTGATTGTGCTTATTTGAGTCCTCCCTCTTCTTTTCTTGATGAGCCTACTTAAAGGCTTGTCTATTTTGTTTATCTTTCCAAAGAACCAACTCCTGGATTCATTGATCCTTAAAATTGTGCTTTTAGTTTCTATGTCATTTAATTCTGCTCTAATCTTGGTTATTTCCTTCCTTCTGCTTGCTGTGGGGTGTCTTTGTTATTGTTCCTCAAGTTTTTTCAGGCGTAGGGTTAGGTTGTTTGTTTGAAATGTTTCTGTTTTCTTTAGGTAGGCCTGTGTTGCTATAAACTTCCCTCTCAGGACTGCCTTGGCTGTATCCCATAAGTTTGGGGTTGTTGTGAGATCATTTTCATTTGTTTCCAGAAATGTTTTGATATCTTCTCTAATTTCATTCTTGACCCATTCATTGTTTAATAGCATACCATTCAGTCTCTATGATTTTGGGTGTTTTGAATTTTTTTCTTTGGGGTTGCTTTCCAGTTTTAGTCCCTTGTGGTCAGAGAAAATGCTTGTTATGATTTCAATTTTCTTGAAATGTTTGAGGCTTGTTTTTATTCTTAATGTGGTCTATCTTTAAAAATGTTCCATGTGCATTTGAAAAGAATGTGTATTTAGCTTCTTTGAGATGAAGGGCTCTATATATATCAGTTAAGTTCATTTGATCTAGGGTGTTGTTTAATGCTGCAATATCTTTGTTGATATTTTCTTGAAGATCTGTCTATTTTTGATAGTGGGGTGTTAAAATTCCTTACTATAATTTTTTTGCTGTCAATATCTTTCTTGAAGTCCTCTAAGATTTTCCTGATATATTTGGGTGCCCCTATGTTTGGTGCATATATGTTTACGATGTTAATGTCTTCTTGGTGGCTTCTTTCCTTGAGTATAATGAAGTGACCTTCTGGGTCTCTCTTTATGGCCTTTTTGAAGTCTATTTTGTCCAATATGAGAATTGCTACCCCAGCTTTTTTTTCTTGTCCGTTTGCTTGGAAAACTTGTTTCCAGCCTTTCACTTTTAGTCTCTGATGGTGTTTTGTCCCAATGTGGGTCTCTTGTAGGCGACATATGTGTGGGTCATGCTTTCTTATCCATTGAGCTATTCTGTGTCTTTTGATTGGAGCATTTAATCCATTTACATTTAAGGTTGTTATTGATAGGTACTTATTCATTGCCAATTTTGTACTTGTGTTCCTGTCTGTCTTTCTGTTTTTCTTCCTTCCCTTAAAGCAGTCCTTTTAGTATTTCTTGTAGAGCTGTTTGGTAGAGGCATATTCTTTTAGGCTTCTTTTGTCTTGGAAGCTCTTTATTTGGCTTTCTATCTTGATTGAGAGCCTTGCTGGGTAAAGTAGCCTTGGTTGTAGGCCTCTGGTTCTTATTACTTGGAATATTTCTTGCCATTGTCTTCTTGCTTGGAGTGTTTCCATTGAGAAGTCAGTAGCTAACCTTATTGGGGCTCCCTGCATGTTACTTCTTTTTTCTCCCTTGCTGCCTTTAAGGTTCTCTCTTTGTCTTGGAATTTTGCCATTTTGATGATGATGTGTCTTGAAGTGGGCCTCTTTGGGTTCCTCTTGATTGGGACTCTCTGGGATTCCTGTATTTGTGAGACTTTTTGTCTTAACGAATTAGGGAAATTATCTCTCAGACTTTCAAATCCTTTTTTTATCTTTTGTTCTTTTTCTCCTTCTGGTATTCCTATTATTCGGATATTATTACGTTTCATGTGTCTTGCATTTCTCTTAATCCCTCTTCATTCTTTCTGAGCCTCTTTTTAGTTTCTTGCTCTTTCTGTGGGATGCTTTCTACTTTTTCCTCCAACTCGCTAATCCAATCCTCTGCCTCATCTATTCTACTTTTGGAACTATCTACTGTGTTCTTCAATTCAGAAATTGTATTCTTCATTTTCTCTTGTCCCTTGCTGATATTTTCTATTTCATGTTGATGTAGTTTGCAGAGAGATAGTTGTAGTTCCCCTGTAGGTTCTGATAGCTCATTGTGATCTCTTTGAACTTTACAATAATCAGTGCTTTGAATTCACTATCTGATAGTTGATTAGCCTCTCTTTCATCTAACATTGTTTCTGAAGTTTCTGCTTTTTCTTTCATTTGGGGATTGTTTCTTTGTCTTTCCATTGTTTGAGACTCTTCTTGTTAGTCTCAGATTCTAAAATTGATCTGTTCTGACACCCTGGGCTTATGGTGTGAACTTCTGTAGTATGATACCTGTAAATTCAGTGATGCAGTCTCCTTCAAGTATCTTGATGTTCTCCGTCTCCACCTACTCTCACGCTTGTTCTTATGCTGGTCCCCGCGATAGTAGCCTTCCACTGCTGAGTGTCCCGGCTCTAGTAGCTGACTCCTCCAGTGCCCAGGCCTGTTGCTGCAGCAGCAGCGCAGAAGCCAAGAATGTCCCAACTCCCATAGCTGACTCACCGGCGTCCATTCCTTTCACTATGGCAGCGGTACAGGGACAAGAATGTCTGGGCTCCAGTAGCTGACTTCTCTGGTTCCCAGGTCCGTCACAGAAGCTTGGGATGTCCGGCTCCCATAGCTGACTTCCCAGCGCCCAGGCCTGTCTCTATGGTGGCAGCACAGGGGCTTCCAGTGTCCCAGCTCCCGTACCTGACTCCCCGGGGTCCAGTCCCACTGCTATGGCAGTGGCACAGGGGCTGAGAATGTCCTCCTTTCCTTAGCTTACTCCTCTGGCACCTGGGACCCTCACAGGGATTTGGAGTGTCCCGGCTCCCGTAGCTGGCTCCCTGGCACCCAGGCCTGTCTCTATGGTGCCTGCACAGGGGCCTCCAGTGTCCCAGCTCCCATACCTGACTCCTCTGGCACCCAGGATCATCATGGGGTCTTGGAGTATGCAGCTCCAGTACCTGACTCCCCAGCTCCCAAGTCCATTGCTATGGTGGCGGCACAGGAGCCACGTGTGTCCCAGCTCCTGTAGCTAACTCTGCCGCTGTCTGGTGTTTCAGCGTCGGTCACAATCTCTAGTCTTTTAGTTTAATAAATGCTGGGTAACCGATGGTTTATTGTGCTGTTTCTCTATAGATTTGCCCAGATTTTCACCCACGAGTACAAGAGCTAGAATCTGCTCTGTCCTACTTCGTTGCCATCTTCCCAATGTCCCTAAGTTATGATTTAACATCTGCCTTCCTTTGCTGTGACTCCTATCAAAACAAAACCTCGTAGCACAAAAGAAGTGTCTGAAAATATCTTCAATTTGCTTGTCAGATAGTATATCATTAGAGAATCAGATGAAAATCTGTGGATATTTGGACTAATGGACTTGTCCAGAATTTAAGTAACAAGCAGGTTAACAGTGTTACTGGAAGAAATTGTTTCTTCCAGGATGTTACAGGAAATGAATTTCAGGGACACATATGTAGGAGGATTTTAAGCAACAGTGCAAGATGTATTAGAGTGCTCTTGAAAAGGCTGCCGAACTGAAGACACTCCCTGTACTCAGCCGGTAGATGTTCACTGCCACCAGGCCCAATGTTGCATCCATGACCAGGTGGTTCAGCTCTGTCTTGCTGTAGAAGTTCAGATTTCCAGGCTATAGGCCTACACTTGGGCCACCAGGCCCTGGAATGTCAACAGGGACCAGAGCTGCCACACTCTGGCACTTGAGGCTGGACTTGGGCAAGTTATTTAACTTCCTCATGCCTTATTCCCTATCTGCACATCTGCTTCCAATGTTCAGTGGCACCTGAGCCACCATTGCCACTGCTCTCTGGCCTATGTGGCTTCCACTTGTTAAACTTTAGTTATATTTCCTTGGGCTTATGAAGAGGTAGGCTTTTTTCTTTAAAACTAATCTATCTTTTTTTCTGTTATTTCCTGGTCTTGTGTCCTTATCCTATACTATCTTTTACCCAGCTTTGCCTCCTCCTCTTTATGGTCACCATTTTGGCTTTTACTACACATGTGCATAGTGAAAAGATGTGCTCTATACCATATCTCTCTTCTCCCATGAGTGGGGTGGACTCTTGGGGGTGCCTGCAAAGCATCTGTCCCTCCTCAGATGTCTAGAGTGACTGTGAAATTGCCTATTTTGGCTTAATCTGGCCGGCTCTATTTTTTTTTTTTGCCCTTCCTTTTGTTAATATGTAACTAACTGCCTATGTAACAGCAGCACTGAAGAACCACAACAAAATTTTGCCAATTGCTGGCCATACTCATGGACATGCATAAACAGTATATTATCATGATATAGAGTTATATTTTATGCTTAGATTTTAATGTTTGAATCACAAATTAGCCATTTATTACCCTAAGACAAGTTGCTTAAACTCTCCAAGCCACAGTTTTCCTACCTATAGAATATAGATAATAAAAAACTTCTTCATAGCGTTATTGTGAGAAATGAACAAAATATCTTCTGTACCTCACTTTTCCAAGTTGCATTGATTTATAGTTTAAGAAATTCCTGTGACTGTGTGCCTAGCCCTGTGCCTCTCCCCCACTAGATTCCAAGTGTGCTTAAGGAGGGTGGGATCAGGAGTAAGAAGGTACATATAAAATTGCCCAATTAAGCACCATACTGAATATTATCTCTAGACAAGGAGGCAAAACCAGGCACTGCTGATGAGTTAACTAGATAAGACACAGAAAATATTTCCTTCTCCTTTTTGGTTTTAAGTCTATTTTAAGTTCCTAGACTTCTTTAACTCAGTCCACCCCTGGGGGCCACAGTGGAGATGCCTACTTCCATAGGAGTCCCTGACCTGCTGTGGGTAACTCTACTGCTCTTCTGTAAGTAGAGGTTCAGTCACCTGTCTTGAAGTACCCAAAATGGATCTAGAGAACACCTGGGGTGGGAATGACAGTTTTAGCGGTGACTTCTTCTAGGCCATACTCAAACTATGGAACATTTCCCAGGGATTCTGCAGTGGAGACAAATGACAGCAGAGGAAACTAAGCTGAGCAACACCTAAGCAAGAAGTCAGACTGAAAATCTGATTTCTTGCAATAGCTCTGGCATGTCCCATCGGGCAAGGGAAGGAAAATAGAGGAAAGAAAGGATCTCTGTTTTTCTTTGGATTTAATTCCTGAGAAGTTGATTGATTCTTAAAACTCCAAGTTCCCACTGCACAGGAGTCTCAGAAGGTTGGGGATAGACACTAACTTATCCTCTCTAAAATTTTGCAGCTCCTGATGGCATGTCAGCAGGTGAGTCCTCTGTCCTTGTTCCTTCACTATCCTTGCCTCCCTACACTGTTTCCCTTTATTACAGCATCTTTGTTTTTTAATGATTGTTCTGTTTTCTAATAATTATCTGCTCTTCTCTGTTCAACCCACCTCCCATATCCATCTTGCCTTGTATTTCTTTTTTTCTCCCATTAAAAATTTTCTCATGTACCAATTCATTCTTTCAAGTCACCATCTCTTCTTTTCATGACAACAAGCATATCTGTTGAACATTTGAATGTCTTAGCTTCTCTTCCAGGCACTATTACATAATGTCTATCAATTCTTACATCATCATTTTTAATATTGCTATTTTATAATTGAGGATGCTTAAACTAAAACTTAGTGATTTTCTGGAGGTTACCCAGCAAACAACTGCATTCTAACCTAAGTCCTTACACAGCAAACAACTGGATTCTAACCTAAGTTCCTTGAATCCAAGTCTGGTTCTCTTTCGACTTCATCACCCCCTGATATTTCCTTAGCTTCATACCTCTGTTCTCAGAAGCCTTTTAAGATTGATCCTTTTTATATTTCTCACTACCTTCAGGAATGACATATATTTTTTGCTGCATATACACTCACAACACAGTTATGCATCTATTATTCACTTATTCATTTGTTCAATGTGCCATTCTTTAGGATGAGCAATGGTTAACATGACATTGTCTCTGCCTGAGAACTGATTACAGCCCTCATTTACAAATTATGAAATTAAAATAAAAAGAATTAAAAATGAATTATTCTATACGACATATTAAATTTTTCATTTGTCTGTTTTTTAAATATCCTGCATTTTTGTTCTGCCTTTCTTTCTAGGTGGGAGCTCCTTGTGGTCACAGTAATATGTCCTCCTTTTCTAAATTCTAGGTATCAGGATAGGGTCTAATCAACAACAGCAAAGTGTAGACTAGCCATTGATTGGCTACTGGTATGTCTGTACTTTGAAGTCTAGAAAATTAATTTTCAATTATTTTTTTCTCTCTGTATCTCTTTTTACAATTTGACCTTCTCAAAGTCACCTGGAAATCTATAGTGTCCTTGAATCCCCCATGGAATAGAATATTTAGAGGAGAGAATGTGACTCTTACATGTAATGGGAAAAATTCCCTTGAAGTTAACTCCACTAAGTGGACCCACAACAATACCGTGTTAGTAGTGACGACATCAAGTTTGGACATTATAAATGCCAGATCCCAGAACAGCGGGGAATACAGATGTCAGAACAACAATCTTATTCCAAGTCGACCTGTGTATATAAAAGTTTTCAGTGGTAAGTTCCAAGTCCATGGAAATGTATATTCTCCCATGTGAAAAAAAATGCCTATCTGATGATGGGGAGAAAACTTATTTCAAGGCTTAGGGTACCAGAGTGGGACTTAGGGTCTCTCATTTAAGACTCATCTATCTTTCTTCTTCCATATCTTCCTCTTCTACTTGCCTGCCCTTCTGCCTTCTTTTAATATTCTGGTTATTTCCAATGTTATTTCTCTTCTATCTTTTCTATATAGGTGCAGGTGTATTTTATATGGTCAATGGTATGTTGGATATGTGAATATTGCAAAGAGCTACATATCTGAAATAGGAACAAAAGTTTCAGTTTAAAGATTTGCTCTGCAATATCCATATGCAATGACCTAAATACTAGGATATACTCTTCATTTCAAAAGGTATCTGTGTACATTTCTCATATCCTCTGCTTTTATTGAAAAAAAATTGTTTCCTTTATTACTTTCCTATTGCTAATAATTAATGCAGCCTGCTTTGGCATATATGGGTTAGTTAGTAAATTTTGAATGAACAAACTAATGACTTTATTTGAATGACTAGGATTTTAAATCCTAGCTATATTTTACTTTATTTTTTAAATATACATTTCTTTAGTTATTTATTTACTTAATTATTATTTCAGTACAGTTGTCTCTATATTCTTCCCAACACTTACCTCCACCCCACCCATTTCTGCCACCTACCCTCGATCCTACCCCCTTTGGCTTTGTCCATGTGTCCTTTATACATGTCCCTTGACTGCCCTTCCCCTATTTTCCCCTATTATCCTTCTTCCCCCTTTCCTCTGGTTACTTTCAGTTTGTTCTTTATTTCAATGTTTCTGGTTATATTTTGTTTGCTTATTTGTTCTGGTTATATTTAGTTTTGTTGATTAGATTTTGCTTATAGGTGAGATCATATGGTATTTTTCTTTCGCCACTTGGCTTATTTCACTTAGCACAGTGCTCTCCAGTTCCATCTATGCTATCACCAAGGGTAGAATTTCCCCCTTTCTTTCTGCTGCATAGTATTCCATTGTGTAAATGCACCATAGTTATTTTATCCATTCATTTAATGATGGACACTTAGGTTGCTTCCAGCACTTGGCTATCATAAATAGTGCTGCTGTGAACACTGCAGTGAATAGGTTTTTTTGAATTGGTGTTTTGGAATTCTTAGGGCATAATCCCGGCGGTGGAATTGCCGGGTAAAAGGTAGTTCCATTTTTTAGTTTTCTGAGGAAATCCCATACTGTTTTCCCCAGTGACTGTACTAGTCTGCATTCCCACAAACAGTGCACTGGAGTTTTCTTCTCTCCACTACCTCACCAGCACTTGTTTGCTGCTTTGATTATGATGGTCATTCTGATCAGTGTGAAGTGAATATGTATCACAATTTTTATTACATGTAAGTATGTATTTAATGTCCTTATCCTCATTTTGCTCTATATTTCAAAAGGTTTGGGGCCATGTCTGTTCTTTACATTATATCTCCAGTTCCTAACATAATACCTAGGAGCTAGTAAGTACTCAATACATTTTTTAATAATGAATCATTAAATAATAAGAGTCTGTTTCTATGACTAATGCCATTTTAAGAATTGAAAAGCATGACCTGGCAATTCCACTGTTGGGATTATACCCTAATAATCCCAAAACACCAATTCAAAAGAACCTATGCACCCTAATATTCACAGAAGCACAAGTTATAACAGCCAAGTGCTGGAAGCAGCCTAAGTGTCCATCATTAAATGAATGGATCAAAAAACTATGGTACATTTACACAATGGAATACTATGCAGCATAAAGAAAGAGCCTCTACCATTTGTGATACCATGGATGGAACTGAAGAACATTATGCTAAGTGAAATAAGCCAGGTGGTAAAAGACAAATACCATATGATCTCACCTATAAGTAGAACTAATCCACAAAAAAAAAAAAACAAGAAAGATATAACCAGAGACATTGAAATGAAGAACAAACTGACAATAACCAGAGGGGAGGTGGGAGGAGATAATGAGAGGAAGAGAGGGAAGGGTTTCAGGAACATGTACAAAGGACACATGGACAAAACTGAAGAGGGGTAGAATCAAGGGTGATGAGTAAGGATGGCTAGAGTGGGGAGAATGGTAGGGGCAAAATTGAGACAACTGTACTTAAACAACAATTAAATTAAAAAATTAAAATAAAAACGGAACAGACTTGAAACACATACACCAAATAAAAATTTTAAATGGAAATATGGCTAATTTGTACAAACATATTTTATCTAAGATCAATCCTTGAGGATATTTCCAAAATTTAGTCTAAGGAAATATTTCATTTGCACTTAGAATTTGCATATGGGTGTTAAAACATTTTTTATTTGAGATAAAAATGCAAAGTTGGTTTATATTTTTTGTAACTTCTTTTTTTATTGTTGTTCAAGTACAGTTAAAGTATATTTTACTTATAATATATACATATATAATAAATGTATAATTAATATGTAATATAAACTTTATTTCTACTATGTAAATATATAAATGTAATAAATAATAAATTTATTTATAATGTATAAATACATAATAAATCTATAGTAAATACATATAATTTTAAATGTATTATATAAATTTTAAAGTATAAACAAACTTTTTTATATATTATAAATAAATATAATTCAAAATATATTATATACATATTATAAATAAACACAATTTTAATATATTACATAAATATATTTACAGTTCAATCTTTGTATTTTATCATTATAAATAAATATAATTTAAAATATATTATGTCAATATATAAACAAGCTTTATATTTTTATCTCTAATAAAAATGTTTTAACATTCATATGCAAATTTTAAATACATACAGCAGAATATAGAATAGCTCCTTCATTTCCTTAGTGTAAATTTTGGAAATGTTCTCCAGGATTGATCTTAGATAAAATAAGTCTGCACAAGCTAACCATATTTCTATGTAAAATTCTTCCTTGGTATATACTTTTCAATTCTTAAAGTGATATTAGCCATAGAAACTGACTTATTTTTTACTGACTCATTATTTTAAAATTTTTTGAGTAGTTACTAGCTCTGAGGTATTTTGTTAGGAACTGGAGATATAATGTAAAAAACAGACATGGCACAAACCTTTTGAAATATAGAGCCAAATGAAAGTAAGGACATTAAACAAATAATTATGTGTCATAAAAATTGTGATACATGTTTTGAGAAAGTTTGGGGGTCAGCTATAATTAATAATACTACTGGGAAGTCCCTGTGAGATAAGAGAGGACAAAATAGACATTGTTCTAGGTTAAGATACACTAGGAAGAATAGGTTGACTTCCCACATAGTGGCTAGAACTAATAACAATAGAGCTAAAGGGAATACTAGGTTTCAGACTTTCCACAGATGGGCTTAGCAAAAGTTTCAGATAAATTGTATGACCCCAAACTTACTTTTTTGGAGAAGAGATTTATCAATATGAAAGTTCACTCTATGGATAGTTTTTTTTTAATTGACTTTATGAGCCAAGAAACATATTAATGATTAACAATGGTTTCTGACACACATTAATGCAAGACCCCACTTATTTTATTATCTATGTATCTACAATCTACCTATATCATCTATCTATTCATTCATTGTGGAATAAGTAATATAATAAATGCTCTTTAGATTGGCTGCTCCTTCAGTCTTCTGCTGAGGTGGTATTGGAGGGTGAGTCCTTCCTCATCAGGTGCCATGGTTGGATGAATAGAAATGTCTTCAAGATGATTTACTACAAGAATGGCAAAGCACTGAAGTACTGGTATGAGAAACACAACCTCTCCATTACCAATGCCACAATAGAAGACAGCGGCAACTATTACTGCACGGGCATACTTTGGCAGATAAACTATACCTCCGATCCCCTAAAAATTACTGTAAAAAAAGGTGAGTTAGTAGAAGGAAAGGAAAGGAGCCCATAGCTTGGGAATGGAGAAAAGAAATTTCAGCTTGAAATAGTAACTGCTTGTAAAATGGTGGAACCTGTGATATCTTAGAAAGTCTACTAAACTTCAAAGAGGGAGGCCTGGGGTGTAGTATGTCTCTCAATAACTGTCTTATATTTTTAATTTATTTAATGGCAATAGTAATACCTAGTTACATTATGGTATGTTTGTAAAGATTAAATGTGGTAATATATGTGAAATGGTTTTTATAAACTGTTAAGCACAACCCAAACATAACAGATTGTCTATGAAAGCATGAGACCAGAAGCCAGAATTAAGCTCTAATGGCTCTTCTCTGTTAGTCAATTTGGGACCTAAGACTATTTAATTGTTGCTGGGCTTTTAGTATCTTTATCTGTGAAATAAATGGTTTGATCTAGGCATCATTAGAATCACTTGGTGAAATTATATATATATATACATATATATATCATATTATATCATATCTCAACCCTAGAAATTCTAATTTAATTGGTTTGGACAAGGCCTGGGAGTCAGGATTTTTAAAAGCTTTTTCAGGTAATTTATAGACATTGTTTAGAGCCACTAGTCTGGGTGAGCTCTAAGTGATATCCAGTTTTAATATTCTGTGGCTCTATAATTCTAAAATAATCACCAAAAGAAGCAGTAGTTTGTAAAAAAGAGTAACATAGTGGAACTGGAAGGAAACTTAAAGATGATTTAGTCCAAATCTTCATTTCACCCAAAAGGTATGCAAGAATGATGATTTATTGATTGATTGAGAAATAAGGCACTGGCGACTCCCTGCCCTCACTCAGTTTCCTTTCTAACCCTAAGTAATAGTATTAAACATTGGTATTGTCAAGTCCAAGAAAGAGGTCATTTTTCCTATCACCTTCCCCTTTGGGCATATTGGCTAGAGAAACTGTTAGACGAAGGCTATGGGGCAGATGGTCAGAACTCCTCAGGCTCTAGGGAGCACAGTACAACAAACCTAAACTCAGGAGTGTTTTGTCCCTGAATCTGAATGCTATATCATGCTAGAATTTGATAGACCATGCTGCTGGGCCCTTATTTTAGGGAGAATGAGGCCCTGAACCTCATTGTACAACATTTAATGAGTAATGTTTCTTCTTCCATCTAGATTCCACAAAACCTCACTGGCTACAATTTCATATCCCATTTTTGGTGATGATTTTGTTTGCGGTGGACACAGGGTTATTTATCTCAACCCAGCAGCAGTTTAAATCTATCTTGAAGATTAAGAGGCCCAGAAGACGCAGCAAACTTTCAGACCCACATCCTAAGTAAACTACCACAAAGAACTGATGTCATTGCTCAAGAAATATTTGCAAAAGCGATTTCTTTCTGGCATCAGCAATTTCTTCTTAATTGTCAAACACAACTCACAATGTACATACAAAGATTTCTATTCAACTCAACAGTTCAGTAAACCAACTGACATTGATTAAGTGGCATGCATTTCTAAGAGCTCAATAAACATCACTTAAATAAATAAAAGAATGTATAGATTCATTTATACATCCATTTATTCATTTCTTTATATGTAAAGAGAAGCACAATTTGTTTTTTTATTTTATTTAGTTATTTTTCAAGTACAGTTTTTTGTCTATTTCTCCCATTCAGCCCCTCCCGCCCCGTGTTCCCCACCTCCTATACATTTCCAACCCCCTTAGTTCTCATCCCGGTGTCCTTTCTATTTGTTCCTCCAAATCCCTCCCCTTTTTTCCCCTTAAATTTCCTTCCCTCTCCCCTCTGCACACTGTCCCCTTGTTCTCTGTTTCAGTGTCTTGGTTTTCTTTTTCTGCTTGCTTGTTTGTTTTGGTGTTTAGCTTCTTGTTAAATGTGAGATCATATGGTATCTGTCTTTCAACACCTAGCCTATCTCACTAAGCATAATGCTTTCCAGTTCCATCCACGTTGTTGCAAATGGTAGTAGCTCCTTCTTTCTCTCTGCTGCATAGAATTCCATTGTGTATATGTACCACAATTTTTTGATCCATTCATTTACTGATGAGTACCTAGGTTGCTTCCAACTCTTGGCTATTGTAAATTGTGCTGCTATGAACATTGTGGTGCATAGGTCCTTTGAAATTGATGTTTTAGGATTCTTAGGATATAATCCTAGCAGTGGAATTGCTGGGTTATAAGGCAGGTCCATTTTTAGTTTTCTGAGAAAATTCCATACTGTTTTCCATAATGGTTGTACCAGTCTGCAATCTCACCAACAGTGAACTAAGGACCCCTTTTCCCCACAATCTCTCCAACATTTGATGTTTGTTGCTTTGTTTATGATAGCCATCCTGACAGGTGTAAAGTGGTATCTCGTTGTGGATTTAATTCTCATCTCTCTGATAGCTAACGATGTTGAGCATCTCTTCATGTGTCTCTTGGTATTCTGTATCTCCTCCTTGGAGAAGTGTCTGTTCAAGTCCTTTTCCCATTTTTTAATTGGGTTCGATGTCTTCTTAGAGTGGAGTCGTGTAAGTTCTTTGTATATTTTGGAGATTAAAGCTTTGTCTGAGGTATCTTTGGCAAATGTATTTTCCCATACAGTTGGTTGTCTTTTTAATTTAATACTGTTTTCTTTAGCCACGCAGGAGCTTTTTATTTTGATGAGATCCCATTTGTTTATTCTTTCCTTTATATTCCTTGCTCTAGGGGACATATCAGTAAAAATGTTGCTGTGTGAAATATCTGAGATTTTCTTGCCAATGTTCTACTCTAGGACTTTAATGGTATCGCTGCTTATATTTAAGTCTTTATTCACCTTGAATTTATTTTGGTGTATGTTGTAAGTTGGTGGTCAAGTTTCATTTTTTGCATGTAGCTGTCCAATTCTCCCAACACCATTTGTTGAAGAGGCTATCTTTACTCCATTTTATGTTATTGCCCCCTTTGTCAAACATTAATTGACTATAGAGAGTTGGGTTTATTTTGGGGATCTCCGTTCTGTTCCATTGGTCTATGAGCCTGTTTTATGCCAGTACCATGCAGTTTTGATTACAGTGGCCTTGTAATACAGTTTGATATCAGACATTGTGATTCCTCCTACTTTGTTCTTCTTTCTCAAAATAGCAGCTGTTATTTGGGGTCATTTATGGTTCCATATAAATTTTTCAAGTGTTTGTTCTATGACTGTGAAATATGCCATCGGTACTTTAATAGGGATTGCACTGAATCTGTATATTGCTTTGGGTAGTATGGACATTTTGATGATGTTAATTCTTCCAATCCATGAACAAGGTATAAGTTTCCATTTGTTTGTGTCTTTCTTGATTTCTTTCTTCAGGGCTGTGTAGTTTTCTGCATACCAGCCTTTTACCTCCTTAGTTAGGTTTATTCCCAGATATTTTATTTTTGTTTTTGCTATATCGAATGAGATTTTTTTCCTTGATTTCTGCTTGTGCTGATTCATTGTTCATATACAAAAATACCTTTCATTTCTTGATATTGACTTTGTAACCTGCTGTTTTGCCAAATTCATTAATTAGTTCGAGCACTTTTGGGGTAAAGTCTATAGGATTTTCCATGTACACTACATGTCATCTGCAAACAGTGACAGTTTTGTTTCCTCCTTTTCTATTTGGATGCCTTTTATTTCTTTTTCTTGCCTGATCGCTGTGGCTAAAATTTCCAATACTATATTGAATAGAATAGGTGAAAGTGTACATCCTTGTCTTGTTCCTGATCTTAGTGGAAAAGGTTTTAGTTTTTGCCCATTGAGTATGATGTTGGCTATAGGTCTCTCATATATGGCCTTTATTATATTGAGGAATGCTCCCTCTATTACCACTTTGCTGAGTGTTTTTATCATAAATGGGTGTTGTACCTTATCGAAAGCTTTTTCTGCATCTATTGATATGATCATGTTGTTTTTGTCTTTGCTTTTGTTTATGTGATGTATTACATTTACTGATTTGTGAATATTGAACCATCCTTGCATCCCTGGGATGAATCCCATTTGGTCATGGTGTATGATCTTTTTGATATATTGCTAGATGTGATTTGCCAAAATTTTGTTGATGATTTTAGCAACTATGTTCATCAGCGATTTTGGCCTGAAGTTTTCTTTCTTCGTTGTGTCTCTATCTGCTTTTAGAATTAGGATGATGCTGGCTTCATAAAAAGAATTTGGGAGTTTTCCATCCTGCTGGATTTTTTGGAATAGTCTGTGGAAAATAAGGGTTAGCTCTTCTTAAATGCTTTGTAGAATTCTCCTGTGAAACCATCTGGTCCAGGGCTTTTGTGTGATGGGAGTTTTTTTTATTATTGCTTCAGTTTCTTTTGCTGTTATTGGTGTTTTTAGATTTTCTGCTTGGTTTTCATTGAGTTTTGGTAGATTGTATTTTTCTAGAAATGTGTCGATTTCCCCTAAGTTTTCAAATTTCTTGGCGTACTATTCGTCTTAGTGATTTCTTACAATTCCTTCTATTTCTGTGGTACCAGTTGTAATTTCTTCTCTTTCATTTCTGATTGTGATTATTTCTGTCCTCTCTCTCTTGTTTTCTTGATGAGCATACTTAAGGTCTTGTCTATTTTGTTTATCTTCTCAAAGAACCAACTCCTGGACTCATCGATCCTTAGAATTGTGCTTTTAGTTTCTATGTCATTTAATTCTGCTCTAATCTTGGTTATTTCCTTCCTTCTGCTTGCTCTGGGCTGTCTTTGTTGTTGTTCCTCGAGTTCTTGCAGGTGTAGGGTTAGGTTGTTTGTTTGAAATGTTTCTATCTTCTTTAGGTAGGCCTGTATTGCTATAAACTTCACCTCAGGTCTGCCTGGGCTGTGTCCCATAGGTTTTGGGTTGTTGTGAGATCATTTTCATTGGTTTCCAGAAACATTTTGATTTCTTCCCTAATTTCATTCTTGACCCATTCATTGTTTAATAGCATACCATTCAGTCTCCATGATTTGGGGTGTTTTGGGTTTTTTCCTTTGGGGTTGGTTTCCAATTTTAGTCCCTTGTGGTCACAGAAGATGCTTGGTATGATTTCAATTTTCTTGAATTTGTTGAGGCTCGTTCTGTGTCTTATCATGTGGTCTGTCTTTAAAAATGTTCTGTGTGGCCCTGGCTGGTGTAGCTCAGTGGATTGAGCGTGGGCCTGCGAACCAGACAATTGCGGTTCAATTCCCAGTCAGGGCACATGCCTGGGTTGCAGGCCAGTTCCCAACAGGGGATGCACAAAAGGCAACCATACATTGATGTTTCTCTCCCTCTCTTCTTCCCTTCCCCTCTAAAGATAAATAAATAAAATATTTTTAAAAAGTTCTGTGTGCATTTGAAAAGAATGTGTATTTAGCTTCTTCGGGATGAAGGGCTCTGTATATACATCAGTTAAGTCCATTTGATCTAGGGTGTTGTTTAATGCCACAATACTTTTGTTGATATTTTTTTGAAAGATCTGTCCGTTTTTGGCAGTGGGGTTTTAAAATCCCCTACTATAATTGTGTTTCTGTCAATATCTTTTTTGAATTCCTCTAAGATTTTTTTGATATATTTAGGTGCCCCTATGTTTGGTGCATATATATTTATGATGTTTATGTCTTCTTGGTGGATTCTTCCCTTGAGTATAATGAAGTGGCCTTCCGGGTCTCTCTTTATGGCCCTTTTGTTGAAGTCTATTTTGTCCGATATGAGAATTGCTACCCCAGCTTTTTTTTCTTGTCCGTTTGCTTGGAAAATTTGTTTCCAGCCTGGCAGTTTTAGTCTGTGATGGTCTTTTGTCCCAATGTGGGTCTCTTATAGGCAACATATGTGTGGGTCATGCTTTCTTATCCATTGAGCTATTCTGTATTTTTTTATTGGAGCATTTAATCCATTTACGTTTAAGGTTATTATTGATAGGTACTTATTCATTGCCATTTTTGTACCTGTGTTCCTCTCTGTCTCCCTCTTTTCCCCCCTTCCCTTAAAGCAGTCCTTTTAGTATTTCTTGTAGAGCTGGTTTGGTGGAGGCATATTCTTTTAGACTTCTTTCATCTTGGAAGCTCTTTATTTGGCTTTCTATTTTGATTGAGAGCTTTGCTGGGTAAAGTAGCCTTGGTTGTAGGCCTCTGGTTCTTATTACTTGGAATATTTCTTGACATTGTCTTCTTGCTTGGAGTGTTTCCACTGAGAAGTCAGTAGCTAACCTTATTGGGGCTCCCTTGTATGTTACTTGTTTTTTCTCCCTTGCTGCCTTTAAGATTCTCTCTTTGTCTTGGAATTTTGGCACTTTGATGATTATGTGTCTTGAAGTGGGCCTCTTTGGGTTCCTCTTGATTGGGACTCTCTGGAATTCCTGGATTTGTATGACTTTTTCTCTCATCAAATTAGGCAATTTTTCTCCAATTACTCTTTCAAATATATTTTCTATCCCTTGTTCTTCTTCTCCTTCTGGTATCCCTATTACCTGGATATTATTACGTTTCATATTGTCTTGTACTTCCCTTAATCCCTCTTCATTCTTTCTGAATTTCTT